TGCAGTATGAAATCGCTTTTTTCCATGCGTTTTTGAGAATGTAAGCTGAAACGTTATATTTTAGTACTTTGGCGAATAAACGGTAGAAGTGCCACATGAATCCACAGCGATATTCGAAAATGGCTTCATGGAACCGGTCGTCCACAATGCATGCCTAATTGTGCTTTTGTTTGGTTTGAATGGAAAAAAGGACCCAATTTTTAGATAGACAAAATCAATGCAGTCATATGTGAACATGGCAAAATGTATCCGACTAATCTTGCTGCTAAAAGGAACACATTACTTTGGACTAAATACAAACAAAAAGGACTACATATATTATTCTAGAAATTAATGATAATCAGCTGTGTGATGAATTAAGATTACAGGCGAAAAGGTAATAATTAATGCGAAACAGTTTACAGCGCGCTCTACGCTTGGAATGTAGATCTAATATTTGGCTTTTAATCCATTACTTTTGAAATAACATCATTTTCTAATCCTAAGCACAAATTTGCAACAATACTCGTTTTTTTGTCATTCGTTGTCAAAAGCTTAGCAGCTTTCTCCCATTTTCATCTTAATGAGCTTGTTCTTCTATGCTAATTCCCACAGTGTTCAATAATCAATGAAGAAAGTTTATATACATCATATAACTTTTTGTTAAAGATGTTGTATTATGGGAATACCATGTATTGCGTTGTCGCAATCAAATTTTGGATAAATTCTCCTCAAGCTCTCAAGCAATATAACCCGCTCATTCAGTAGAACTGAAAACTAATGTTTGCATTTACGAAAATTTAGTTGAAAACTTTCCTTTACGAAAAACATGAGTAAAAGGATGAAAAGATACCTGTTACTTTGTGAGGCACTATGAATTTGAACATTTTTCGCTAGCTACGCTGAATAGTGTTAAATAATGTTTAAAAAGGTCAAAATCTATTGCCTTTAATGACCTATATGAAATTTATAATCGAAGTTTTAAATTCTGAAATGCAAAAGAAATCAGAAACAAAAATAGTCAGTTGTAGGTGCTATGAAAAATTAGTATTAAGTCTGAAATGATAAATGCCCATCTAGTTCTTATGCTAACTACCGGGGTTCTGGAGGAGTGCTACAGATGCGACTATGATCTGAGGTCTAACAAATCCAAACTCATTAATCATCTCATAATCTCATGAACAAACGAACAGATCTCTATGAGAATTTGTTCAGACAGCTCGCTTATTCTCAGCGAGCTACAAGGAGGAACCTATTACCAAGTACGAAAATAGAGAGAAGACAGCGAGGCAGTGAACACTGTCAAAACAAGGTGTTGATCGGTTATGCGCTAAAAATCTTTCATTTCTTCCTTAAGAATCATTGCCAATCAATATTTTTCCCTGTTCGGTACATTTATATGCTATGTATATGGCATAGTTATTGTCGGATCCTTTCTAGCTATTTAGTAGCTTTACAGAGCTGGGTTTGATAGGGTGGCGACCAAAGACTTCAACATATACGACTGGCAATCCTCGTGATACTGGGATTAATCCACGGATTTCACCTGCTGAAGTACGCGCCGCAATCCAGACCATGAAGGCAGTCACGGAGGCCGGACCATGTTTCGGCCGACCTCTTACGAGCTGGAGGACATCGCCTACAAGAGATACTTGCGGAACATCTAACGTCCTACCTTCAAAAGGAAAGGATCCCCGACCAGTGGAGAAACTCCCAAACAATGTTTCTTCATGAGAAGGGCGATACGCAGGATCTTCGCAACTACCTTCCAATATGCCTGCTGAGCGTGCTTTACAAGCTTTTTACGAAGATTATTCTCGCTCGCATATCAAGAACACTGGAACAGCTCAACCTGTAAAACAAGTTTATTTCGACAGGGATTCAGCCGCCTGGATCACATCTAGAGTTTTGGGGAATATCGAGGTTTGGCCAGAGTGCCGCCTACCTCTGG